ACTACGATGCATGATATTAAAAACAGGCAATGTAAGATACATGCCGAATTGCAATCACTCGACGTCCAGAAAGCTGGATCCGATGTCATCCCAGCAATAGTGCTTAAAAATGTGCAGCGGAGTTGTCTCCCGTGTTCATGCGCTTGAACCGACTCTCGTACTCTTTGGGCCGAGTGCCGGAGTATTGGAGGGATGCTAACGTGCAACCGGTGCCCAAAAAAGGGGACAGCTCAGACCCCTTTCTAAAATTATTCATCGCAATGGCCACTTAGTCCATAGCAGTAAAAAAAAAGTAACATTTTCATAAATTCTGGCAAAGGTAATAGCAATAGGAATTCCATAGTTTTACATTATTTCAACATTCTCAATACAAACACTTTGATCAGTCAATTTACATGCCAACTTAGTTTATAATTTATAAAAAACAATGTGGCTTAGCAATCAATAATTTTAAGGCCTAGGCCTGGGTTCCGAACCTGGGGGTAATTACCCCTCGGGGGGTAAATCAGCCATACTTCGGGGGTAACAAAGAACCTAATTATTTGGTCAAATCTAAATAATAAGAAAATACTATACCTATATAATAATACTACTAAATAGAGCATGCGCTCCTTCTTGCTAGCGAGCCCGCGGGGTGCTGAGTGTGGGAAGCGGGGCGAGATTTTCTCCTGATGATGACATTATTAGAGAATTATTATAAGAATTTCTTGGACTGATGATAACATTTTAAAGTCGGGGTAAAATCTGTTTTCCTAATAGGTTACAGGGGTAGCAGTATTGGAAAGGTTAGGAAACACTGCCCTAAGGCTATTAAAACGCGGCTGAGAGTACAGCTAGCGGAGGAGGTGAGCGGAGCTACGTCATAAACTGGGGCTGGGTAAACGATTTCATGTCGATCTAGAGTAATCAACAATAAACGTCTGACACTTCATTCTATTGGTATTGCCGCAAAACTAATTAGTATTTAAATGAAATTAATTTGATTCATCAAAACAACGTTGTTTATAAATTTTATAAACACTTTTCCATTTAAATTCAGGTAATAGAAAAAATGTTATTAACATTAATTCGACAAAACTGGTGTTATACACTTACTGGTGTGGTCCATTTTTTTTAATGTATTTATAAAAAAGTTAGGCACTATTATTTAAATGTTCGAGGTATGCTGCATGACAATCTACTATAAACAATATTTCAAATTACAAATTTATTTCAGAAACCTAGTTTCTTCAAGCAGACGCTATTTTTTTTTCGTTTGGAGAAGTAGCCAAATACGGCCCTGCGGCATTGCATTCCGTAACTGGACTTTCCGTAATGAAAAGATGCTGTGCCCTGTGGCTCGTTTTTAAAAACCCTATCCCATTGGATCCCAATATCCGGGATAACCAGTATCCTAATGATTAAATCAAATAATCCAGTCCAAGCCATCCAATCAAATAAAGTTTCACATTTATAAAACATAATTAGTAAGGTGTAGAATTCTCCAAATGAACAATAGTAGGTACGTTATGTTTTCGTTGTTATTGAATGTTTCATTTGGTGCATAATTAAGTACTTAATTGTTACTTATCTATGTTCAAAGTCGTAAAACCCGCATTATCTAAGTATAATAAGACCGTTTTCATCGAAACTTATTATTAAACTTAGATTCTACTACTCCTCTCACAACACGTAAGTTTTGTGGCCGGGTCAGCAGGGCCGGATTTAGGATTGTGGAGGCCCCGGGCCACTTAGGATTTGTATGCTTGTTAACCCATCGAAATGTTGTTATCTTTTATCCTGTAGTGGAGGCCCCGGGCTACTTAGGATTTTCATGCTTGTTGACCCATCGAAATTTTGTTATTTCTTAAGCTGTTGTGGAGGCCCCTGGGCCACAGCCCCACCTGCCGTACCTTAAATTAGGCCCTGGCTGTAGGTAAAGGTAAAAGAGCAAAAAAAATATCAAAGGAAAAGATGTTTACTAGTGTTAACTAGTTGGAATTTGAAAGATTTTTTTTCCGAAGTCTCTATTGTTGGGGCCCCCCGTTTGTGGAGGCCCCGGGGCTTTCGGCCCGGTTGCCCTCCCCTAAATCCGGCAGTGCGGGTCAGCCCATATTACCATGGACTAATAAATTAGAAGATTTATATATCTTCTAAATATACAGTTTTGCCACATTGCAATGAAGTATTAGGCTTCAAACGAAGTAATGACACCACTGCTGCGGTCTTTAAGTAGGTGTCTTTTTAATGTTCTTTGGTTTTCAAGATTCGGTGTACAATTCACACCGAAACTTGCAGACCACAGAACAGAAAAAAAATTGTTTCAAACTTTTGATTTGATGTTTGAATTCTAAGGGCAAATATTAAGTTGAGTTTTTAAAATACGCCCCTGCTTCTGTCAGTTATTAATATAACACTACCGCCCTATCTCAAATGCAACTCTGGCTTACGGCTCATTGTGCGGTTTCTGTTCAGGATTATCGAAATCGAACGCTAAATATTGCGAATGATATATTCTAAATACGGTCTTATCGAATGACTATTACGAATGTTTAAAATTCACAAATGGTAACTGTTAGAGCCTGCACTGCGTTAAAATGGTCACGGCCCGCTCCGCGTGCCGTTTTTATTCTGCAGTCCGATGTAACACGTTGTTTTGGAGATTTGCGCGAAGTGCTTTAGAAGTAAAATTAACTTTATTTAAGTCATACTGCTAAGTATTTTACTCGTGCGTTCTCTGGACTGAATACACGCAGAGGGCTTACAACACACTCCGTTTGCAGTATAACAACGCGTTCCGGATACTGATGGGGCTGCCGCGTCGCAGTAGTGCTTATAGCCCGTCACAGACGTAGCTATATGTTAATATAACGAGATATATATTATATTATAGCAAAGTACTGTGGTACTATACTACGGGAGCTATACTTTAATATATATTTTGCCCTCACTCGGTCTGCGTTCGTACCGTACCGTAATATATCGAGATATATTTGTCAATATATTTTGGTGACGTCATAGAAATATAATATAGCTGCATGTGCGGTCACTGCGGTCTCACAAATTTATATTGAAAATATGTTGTAATATGTCTTGCTATGATTCATATTAATATATATTATAGCAACGTCTGTGACTGTGGGCTTATGGCTTGTTCGCTGTGGCAAGGACAGCCTTCCATGCCATAATCGAAAGCGATGTGCCTCGCTACTGAGTCTGGTGGACTCGAGCATTGGGTGGACCTCCATATGAGACACCATTAATTAAATTGAAATGTATTACTGTGAAAGGAGCTCAGGCATTCATTCCGCTCATTCAAGTAAGCAATTTAAACAATTACTAACATAGATTAAGGCAAAATTTAACTAACGAAACAACACTATGGACAGCTTAGGCTGAAATATTTTTTTATTATTATTATGTCATTTCCACAGCGGGCGTGAACTCTGTGATACCGCTTAACGCAGCGCAGGCTCTTATGGTTAGAACAATTGCAATATTTAGTACGCGGAAATTGGTCGTGGTTTGGTGAGAAGATCATGAGTGCTTTAAATAGTGCGCAGTCTAGTTCGACCTCCCAGCCTTTTCGATATCGCCCGCTGAAAATTGCTAATAATTCTACACTCCCTGAAAATGTGATCTGGTAATTCATTCTCTATGAGTATGTGATAATTGCGACTAAGGCTGCGTTTCCAAAGAAGCGGAGCTGCGCAGCGCTGAGCACTCTTGAAGAAATTGAATCGCTCAAAATAGCAATAGTATTTTGAGCAATGCCGTTGGTAAATTTCTCTAAGGCTCGTATTACGGAATGACAACTAAGTGTTGACCTTTACTTGAGTATGTATAGCACATAGCGACATCCCTTTCTAACTGTACTCGAGTAAAAATAAACACTTATTCTGTAATACGAGCCTTGGACTGTTAAGCTCCGATTCTGCGGAAACACAGCCTTACTACAACGGCTTTCCATTCAATAGGGATGATGTCTAATTTTTGAAGTTATACTTCTTTAGGCGTGTTATGAAAAAATGATGAGAGTGAAATTTTTAGATGCGCGCGCATCACTGTAACCCAAAAGTAACAGCACGAAGTTGGCCGCGGGCGCGTTATGAAAAAATCATGTGAGTGAAATTTCGAGATGCGCGCGCATCACTGTAACACAATAGTAACACCATGAATTTGGCCGCGGGCGCGTTATGAATGTTAGTGTCTAATAATGGTGGATTATTAACCATTATTAGATATCTGTTCGAAAGGTACTTTGAACGATCCACGGAGCTCCATAAGATGATCGCGTTGTCAAAAACAATGTTGGCACGCTCGTCGCCTCTGATCACTGTTTTCATATTTATAATATTTATCCACATAGTTCTAGTTTCTATATAGACAGTTACTTACAAGTGCTAATTACATATGGACTAATAACTTAAATTGAGTAGTGATTTTAATTGAATATTTTGAATATTTATTTAATTTTCCAAATTAAAACTGAACTTAATTGACTGTGTTAACTATCCTTTTCCAGTCCTTTTATTATTTTATTGTAATTATTAATTATTTGCATGCAATTAAAAAATATTTTTAATGATACTAAAGAAGTATAACTTCTCACGCGCGTACATAAGTTACACGCATCCATTTTTTTTTCTTCGTTTATCAGGTAGATTATCAAAAAGTATTGGACACGTATTTTTTCTTTTTTCACATAATAGAAACATTGCAGAGATATATTGATTTGAAAAGTCGCATGACGTAACGTTTTGGTACAATTTTCACTTAAAAGTGACGTCACGAGCCCCTACTCTCAAACTTTGACGCGCTATAACTTTGTCATTTCTTGGTTGATTGCCCAAAGAAAAAATACGTGTCCATTATTTTTTGATCATCTAACTGACGGACTAAATAGAATTTCGTTTACTGTACCCCGTCATCAGCCCTATTGTTTGTGTGGTGTAGCGAGCGTTTCACTTGAGATACGTGGCGTCTATCTTGAGCCGCCTGCCACGTATAGAGAGCCGGCGTCAGTGCGCAGGCGGCGGCGGCTCGGGGCAGTTGTCGGGCAGCGGGGGCAGCACGTTTTCCTCGAAGTGGCCGGACGAGTTCCCCGGCGGCGAGTAGTTGGCCACCACGATTATCTTGCCCGCGCGAGACCGAGCTTTACCCACGCCGAAGTAACGTGTCGCCACCCATACCATTTGCGTGAAGTGACCTACATATAAAAAAAAACGACGGGTTACACTCCGCGAGTACCGGCAGAAGTAAAAACTTGAATATTAACGTTGTGCATTTTTGATATTTTGGAATGGTTAGGCAATAATTTTGCACGAATTGCTTTAATTATCAGTATAAAAGAACTATCATGTATGTGGTAGAATATATGTATCTACTGTATATGTATTCTATCCCTTACCCTAGTATCCTACAACACAAGCCATAATATTTACTTATTTATTTATTAATTACATATATGTCATCATCATTATCATCAGCCTAATAAATGTACCCACTGCTGGGGCAAAGACCTTCCCGATGGAATAGGGAGATTGGGCCATGAGCCACCACGCGGGCCCAGTGCGCATCGGTGGGTGCTAACGACTGCAGATGCAGCCGGAACCAACGGCTTAACGTGCCTTCCGAAGCACTGAGGAGCTCGAGATAATAAACTTTTCGTCACCCATCCAATGACCGACCACTGCGAAAGTTGCTTAACTTTAGCGATCGCAGCCAAACGCGCTAACCACCTACGCCATAGAGCTCCTCTATTTATATGTAGGAGATACTATTTCAACTCTTGTTTTTAAGGAGGCATGGTGCAGTACTCTCCAAATCATACATCAAACATGATATAACCCTTTAAAATAACCAATGAATCTGGACCCAAAAGATTAGAATTTAATTTTCGAAGGTAGCTCGACAAATTTAATTAGAATAAAGTTTGATTCTGACGACGTAGCCTGTAAAGGCTACGAAACGTGAATAAATAAATAAAGTTTCGTGCATTAACCCGTAAAAACTAGTTTCATTTAATGAGTGATGTGCGTGAAAACCTAAGAAACAAATAGAATTTAAGAGAAAGGGAATTGGAGCACCCGTCTGGGGATGTAACCTTACAGGAGATCACAGTAAAATAACACTACCTTTTGTTGGTGTTGTGTTTTTGTCGGAATGTAAAGTTCCAGGGCACCACCGGGTAGGGGATTGGATCAGGGTAGGCAATGGTGCGTATGTTATTTTTGGTATCGCAAACACCTATATAGGCTACAGTGACCTCTTACCATCATATAATTTGATAACCGTTCAAAATCATTGCTATTCTGAATATGATCAGATGACAAAAGATTTGAATTTTGAGAACGGAACCCTACAAAGGCGTCGTCAGCCGGCTAGCCTGCGGGAAGGGGGGGGGGGGGGGGGCAAGTACATTTATTCATAAATGGACGGTGTTAAGGTATGAACACAATCGGGATTGGAATCACATAGTGAAATTCTTAGTGACGCTTATATCTGATACTGTCCATCCTTCTGTCAGGGGCACCTGTACCCTTAGTACGAACCAATATCGAAACTGAATCGTTTGCGAGTCCGAAATGTTATTGTGAAATGTGTACTGATTTTTAGTTATCGTTACGTACTTTGTGCCGCTGCTGTTCAAGTTTCCATACAAAATTTGACATTGACATTTCGGTTTGCAAACAATTCGATAATGGTTCGTGCTAGGGGTACAGTTGTTTCCTTGTATCCGACATAAAATAATAATAACACTTAAACATGATTTTGTTAGAGCTAGGAGGGACGGAGAAAGCCACTGATTGATTACTTTCTTAAACACGTACAAAGTTTAGAAAATATATTTTGTAAGGAAATATAACTAGAAAAACATTCCACGTACGTATCAGGGCCGCGGTAGCATAATTGGTCAGTGCATTCGCCCGGATAGCGAAGGGTGCGGGTTCGAGTCCCGTCTGCTGCCTGTTCCGCGTGGATTTTCTTCTAGTTATATTTTCTTTAGATTTAAACATCAAGCAGTTACATGCTTAAAAAATAAATATTATAACTATATATTGGTGTCAATTCTGGTGCGATTCTCTAAACTTGAAACTAAATTTAAGGTCAGTCTCACCTTTTCATTCCGTATAGAGTAGGACAAGGATGCACCGTTGTCAAATTTAAGTTTAGCTTTAGAGAATCATGCCAGAATCGACATCATTTTGTATTTAAAAATATAGTGATACCTGCGTTCACGTTAGCGTGAAGAACATCCGACTCTTTAAAGAAATTATACTGTCGAACAGCTGCGTACCAGTACGAGGACACCTCCTGACCTGAAAAAGAGGAGATAGTATTACTTACAAATATGATTACTTGCTCTGTGGTACAAATGTGTAAAATATACTATTGTCTATGATTAGGAATCATAAACGTACAGATGAACATAGCGAAACCTATAATGGTACTTTTAAAAATGTGTAACGAAAAAATATGTCAGGGCGTAAAGATACCTCGATGACGCTGGTGGTTAGCGCATTAGGCATTCGATTGTGAAAGTTAAGCAACTTTCGCAATGGTCGGTCGATGGCATGGGTGACCCAAAACTTATATCTCGAGCTCCTCTGTATTTCTGACGGCACGTTAAGCCAGCCGTCGTTAGCACCCACCAATCGGCATTGGGCCCGCGTGGTTACGACCAGGTGCGGTCGCAGCCTGAAATTTTGGAGGGGGTCACTCACTACACTAATAAAAAATAGGTATCTGGAATAAAATAAACATTATTCCACAAGACACTTTTTGACACAAGATTTTTAATTTGACCTTAGATTTTTGGGGGGGTCATGTCCCCTGTGACCCCCCCCCCCCTTCAGACCGCGCCTGGTTATGACCCAGTTTCCCTATTTCATTCAAAGGAAAGGCCTGTGCCCATGTAGTGGGGACATTAATAGGCTGATGATGATGAAACATAAGTGTCTCGTATTGCCTAAACTCACCAGTGACGTCGGGCTGCAGGGCGCTGACGGGGCGCTGGTAGAGGTTCTGGCCTACGTCGCGATCGTTTCTATAGCGGAACTTGTTGGTGTGCGCGAGATGGTTCGCCCACGCTTGGGCGTAGTCGCACAGCTGGATCAACAAACACATGATGACGTGATATACAACGTAAACTAAAACACGGAATAAGACCAGGCCTTGTTGCAGCATTGGAGTGCCCGGCCTGGCGACACCAGCGCCGCGAGCTCATTGCGGCGCTGGGATGCGGAGTCCTCTGAAAAGGGCGTGGGAGGCGGCTGAGAGGGAGCGGGAGGATGATCCCCTGGCCGCTCCCTCCCGCCAAAGGAGGACGGGTAGGAGAGGACGGCGGCGCGCCCTGGCTGCACCCGTCCTATGACCCTACCCGGGGGGACCCTCGCTGACCGGCATGGCATCAGCTGTGCCGGCCACCGACGGACCCTGTGACGGCAGCCCCCCCTTGTAGTTCTGTCCTGCAAAGAGGGGGGCGGCGGAGGGAGCTACACGGGCACGCCCAAGTAGCCCTCCGCAGCGGACGGGGGGCGGTACGGTGGGCACTAGGCCGCGTACTCAGCCCCCATGCGCGGGCTATCCTGCGCACGTCTGCTCCTCCGCAATACCTCGGGAGACCCCTGCCGTGGAGCCCCGGCTAGGCTGGGAGGCTGCTAGGTGCGAAGACGCGGAAGAATCCCTAAACGGGGATCCCGCGGCTTCGCGCTAAGCAGCTTAGAGGGTATTCGCAGGGTTTTTTAGCGTATATTATGCCGTAAAGCGCCCGTAAGAATTACGGGGTCCTCAGTGGGTAGCCACTGCTGGGGCTTGTAAGGCTTGCGGGAGCCAGGTGTGAGGTCCGTTCAGCGGTGTGCCTCTTAAAGGCGCCGTCGTCTGTAAATATGTAGTATTTTTAGCCTGCGTATAAAAAAAAAGAAAAAGACCTTGTTGCAGCAAGTAATCTATAGTGGAACTTGTTGGTGTGCGCGAAGTGTTTCGTCCACGCTTGGGCGTAGTCGTACAGCTGGTTCTACAAACACATGATGACGTGATATTCAACGTAAGCTTTAACACGGAAAAGGGCCAGGCCTTGTTGCAGCAACTAAATTATAGTGGTACTTGTTGGTGTGCGCGAGATGGTTCGTCCACGCTTGGGCGTAGTCGCACAGCTGGATCAACAAACACATGATGACGTAATATACAACGTACACTAAAACACGGAATAAGACCAGGCCTTGTTCCAGCAAGTTATCTAAAGTGGAACTTGTTGGTGTGCCGGAAGTGGTTTTGTCCACGCTTGGGCGTAGTCGCACAGCTGGATCAACAAACACATGATGACGTGATATACAACGTAAGCTTTAACATGGAATAGGGCCAGGCCTTGTTGCAGCAACTAAACTATAGTGGAACTTGTTGGTGTGCGCGAAGTGTTTCGTCCACGCTTGGGCGTAGTCGTACAGCTGGATCAACAAACATGATGATGTGATATAGGTAAAGCGTAAACTAAAACACAGAATAAAGACCAGGTCTTGTTGTAGCTAGTAAAGTTGATGGAGCTAAACGGGTTAGAGGGGTAGGATAGTCAGCGAAAGAATCTTGCCTGGGCATGGATTGCTACGGGACACTAAATATTGATTCAGATATTAAAATGCATTTTAATATTTCTTTTTCGTAAAATCAGCGTGAAGGCAAAGGCGGATCCAGGGTGGGGGGTCATGGGGGTCAGCCCCCCCTGGGCTGGGTTCATCTGTACCCACTTCAAAATCTGTACCCACTGTGACTTGACCACGACTATATGACCCCCCCTGGCGCCAAAGCTGGATCCGCCCTTGCGTGTAGGTAGGTACACTACTTCAGAGCTTAGCTTCAGAGAAAACCAACACGTTTGAAGTTCCGGAATGTCAGATTGAAAGAAACACGGTGTGACCTCGAGCATCACGCATGTTTGCTGCATCTGCATCAATCTGTTGAACTTCACTCACTCACACTTAACAGCAGACGGAATAGAATAAATCGTTATGTTCTACTTCCTCGTTTTTCTCATGCGGACGTTCCTGACAGCATAAGGTCGTATGGTGTACCCACAGAACAAAAACAAATCTGTGGATGTACGTACCCATCAATGCTCTCCACACTGCCCGGTTGTTAGCAATCTGTGTAGAGTTTGCAAATCTGTCTGAAAAAAATGAGCATGCATCGGTCTTTTGTGTTCACGACTCCTCTTTCCTTCCATGTGAGTGATTATGATTATGAAAGGTTACCTCAGGCGCCATAAAGAGTTGAGGCGCTCCATGACGCTGCCGGTACACGTTGTGCCAGCACAGGCACTCGGTGATGAAGTCGCTGTCCTGCCAGGCGGTGCGCACCTCGCTCCACTGCACTACCATGCTCACGGGCCTCGTTTGTAGCACCTGACCATATATCTATGTTATCCTTCTTTCATTAAAATCTTTGAATAAAAAGTTTGGAAACTAATGTTGTCGTTGTATGGAAACTATAACGTACGTATTCCGTACCTACGTTATTTAGTTTCCATAGAATAATAATAATTAGGGAAATCTACAGAATTGTATTATTTCTTGTTACATTAATAACATTTTCTTATACTAATGCTAATTACAGTTTTCCCTGTAACATATTAACTTACGTAACATTTTTGGGTATATCTATATAGTTCATTCAAAAATGTTTGCAACAATAGTTTCATTTCTGTCTATATGTTTATTAATTAAGATCTCACACGACAACGACATGTGTTGTTACAGTCAGATTGTTGATAAAGCTGCGCTTTTGTTACATACCAACTAATAGTTTTATATCGTAGTAGCGGCCGCCCGCGTTAACTTTACTTTTTTGGGTCCCCCCAAGAACCTTTTCGGGATAAAAAATAATCCTATGTCTCAATCCAGGTAATAAACTGTGTATCAAATTCCATCCAAATGTATTTAGCCTTTTATGCGTGATTGAGTAACTAACGTACAAATTTTCATATTTATTTATATACATATAATATAAATAGGATTACGGCAGGTATAATTCGCCTGTTTTTTTTTTTTTGCTGATATCGTCGGCAGGTTTTATTTTACTGCAGCTTTTACCATGATACGGTTGCGGTTATCGACCAAGCAAACTGTTGCTATAGAGAAGGAGAAAGAATGTGAGGCGGTGCTATTGTATTCTACAGTAGGTAGGTATATTTATATTTTAACCATTTAATTCAGTGCTTATATTTTTTATATCTGAAGAAAAATTTACTAGAAAATCATTTTCTTCAAATTTAAAGATCTAACAGTTAAATGCTTAAAACCTTAAAATATTACTTATAATTTTTGTTTGAATAATTACAACAGATGTAAAAATAGAACCCAGCTAAACTTCCTCCTGTCTCTTGTAGTCTTCCATAGGGGCGATCGCTTATATTACGATACAGACTGTACAGGCGGAATTTATGAGACTAGGCGGGCTAAAGATAAAATACGTATCCCTTATTTTTTGGTATTCTTACAGACGGATTTAATAGAACTTCGTTTAATTTACCCCCTCATCATTCCTATTAAAGAGTGCTGTACGTCAATAAAGTTCACGTCCTTAAGAGGGGAGGCTGGCAATGTTTTTCCCATAGAAAGAAACGTTCTCGACTCGAAATGATTTCATAAATAAAATATAATTTACTCATTCTATGCTCCTGTGTCTTCCTTTTTTCGATAACTTGTGTTTCAAAGAAATTAGAAGCCCTCAAAAATGCCAAAATTACATCACCACTAAAGACGTCTAGTGAGGAAATTCAATAAGCATTTACAAAAAAAGCAAAAATAGAGGCCCAGTATGACTACTTATTATTCTGTGGGTAAATTTTCTTTTACATTTGTCTAATTTTCGAGGAGGAAGTCGTTGAAAACCAAACCTCGAAGTTTGCAATTTTTATACGAAATTTTCAGCGTTAGCTACTGTTGTCCCTATCGCACAGTATTAGCCAATGCGCGACAGCAATAATGTTTTCAAATACCTATTTCTCAAATGTCTCTCAGCTCGCGTCCGTTCCTAAGAAGTGCACTTTTCTAGGGTGGGTATACGAGCTGCGGACTGCGGTATGCCGCGCTCATTAGTTGAAGTGAATTTTCAACACTACACTCGTATGCTACCTTGGACGAACAACTTCGCTAAAGATTATGATAGGTACTATATTTATGTATGCCACAGTCTCAGACTTTTATCCATAATATTAGGTTTCGAAGGTGTTTTAATTAACAACACACGAAGAACCTACGTCGTTAATCGTTACGATGAGAATATTATTACAAACTTTACCTACACAAAATAGGGTATTGGACGGTATTAAAAATAAAGTGCTAAGTGTTAGCATCTGTATTCAGAATGAATATTGGCAGAGGGTTTTACTATTATTTCAGAAAAAATATTCATAATTTTACCAAAAGTCCCACGAAAAAGATAATAGGTTTTCATATCTATTGTCACGTGATTGAAAACGCCTGGGATTGGCGGAGCTTAAAATGACGTCACACACTAATAAACTTCCGGTCAAAGTGACATTACATTGTATCGTTTGACGTTTTATTGACAGTCGTGTGACGTCACACACCAGTGAGACGCCATATTGCCCAGAGATACGTTTTCGCGGCAACTTGAAAATTGAGTTTTTGATTTAGTTATTTTTACTAAATTACACAAGAGAATGATGAATATCCACTTTTTATGGACTCCATAAACATTAGTAAGTAACGTGAGATCGTTTTTCAAAACTTGTCAAATACCCTATTATGATCAAGTCGACACTTAACTATTGCTCCTTTTTTAAAGGTGCTGTAATTCATGGATGTCGCTATTGCTCCCAACGATATCGGTAGCTGTTCCTTTATCAAGTCTCTAACAAATTATGCAAAGTTCTTCCAAAGAAGAAAAAGAAATCTGAAATATTTTTCATACTGAACTCAAATCTAAAAGTTTTAATTGGTATTTAGTAACCTAGTTTTATTACACATCACCATACCTACTTCCAGTGTAACAGCCGACGAGATGCTTAAAAGCACTTAACAAACAAACAAAGAAAACCTTTTTATTCGAATCACAAGCGACGTCGGAAACCACTTTGTGGGCACCGCCCTATCCGGTACCTACCCTACCCACCACTTACCGTAAAACCACAAGGAGGGCACACATGGTCACGGTAGCAGAGCTTGTTAACGTTACCACTTTGTATTAGAAATATCGTTAAATAACGTTATTTTATTTTTGTAATCTAGATACCGGTATCGAGGTAACAGAACGTTACCGCAATCGTTTTAATAAAAACTATCCTATGTTGTTTTCCGGAAATCTCTATACCAAATTTCATCGAAATGGGTTCAGCGGTTTAAGCGTGAAGAGGTTACAGACAGACATACTTCAGTATTTATAATATTTGTAGTATGTATATGGATTAATAGCTGTTCTGGCCACAGGTTCTGACTGCAAACCGTAGATTAAATGTTTTTGACTCTAAGACATGTACCCACATTTAAATCATTTTTTTTTTGTTTTTTATGTACTCATACATATAATTATCTGGTTCAGCACACGTGGTAGAGTTTGACATAACTTATACTAAAAAATATAGTAAGAATGTAGGGCAAACCGAACGCCACGCAGGCCAACTGCGAAAATTATAAAAAAGTTAATTTATAATATAAGTTACCTTTTTTATTTATTTTTTTATTTTTTATTTAAAAAGTTTTATTTTGACGACGAAGCCTGTAAAGGCTACGAAACGTCAATAAATAAATAAAGTTTCGTGCATTAACCCGTAAAAACTAGTTTTATTTAATGAGTGATGTGCGTGAAAACCTAAGAAACAAATAAGTTACCTGTCTCAAACGTTATTTTCTTACATTCTCTAACTTTTTTCGCACTGGGATTTTCGTCCTCTACTATTTTATCGTTAAGAGAAGACATTTTCATTCTGTTGAAAAAAATACTTTTTCGAAATAATTTCCTGATTGTATACTACATAAAATACGGTCTGTTTTCGCGGTTGGTGGTAAAAAAATGTTTGTCTGTAAAGTCGGTTTCCGGACAATAGTTTTACATGATATCGTCATTAAGAAACATTGATGAACAATTGCATATTTGCTCGCTCTGACGTCACGTCAGAAGAGAGATAGATGTGTACAAGCGATAGTGACAGTTGGCACTCACAAACAACCATATTAAATACCCTAGATACACTACGTGTGCACAAAATGTGTCCCAATCAAGAAGTGCTTAAACTCCACTCAAGCACTTCTTGATTCATAGTCAAGCGCGGAACGATAAAAAGTCAAGATGCCGCAGAGCTACATGAAAAAAAATGCGAAAAAAATACTTATAGTGTATGCTTTCCAATTACAGAGCATAATGCGACTCAGTGCCGCACAATGCCCAATTATGCTGATGCTTAATTGGAACGTGAATTAGTTTTCGTATGCACTAGCAGAGTGCGCTGAGTTCAGTGTTGAAAAAAAAAGTCAATGTTTGTACCTTCATCCATACTTATATTTATTTTTTAACAGTTTGAATGAACTTTGATTATTTAAAAAAAAACTATTTAATGACACGAAAGCTTTAATAATTTTTCAACAATAAATAATATTACTAACGATAACATACAAATAAAACATTCGATCAATACCAACTTAAAGAAAAAACACTTGTTAATTTTCTTTCTCTAAGTTGGTACCATTGCACGCATCACACGAAAGCATCACTTTTGAGAGTGCTCAATTGTGCGAAGCGTTGCTGTAGTTGGAACACTCAACGTTAAGCATTATGCCGCATAATGCGCAATAATGCTGTAATTGGAAAGCAACCTGTACCTACGTAAAGTGTCGTTTCTTTGACAGGTATCTAATCAATGTTTGTTAATTTTAAACGCATTTGAAGCAAATTTTGTTCTTATACTTATTATAAACTGATTTAATAGAAATTATTTGTGATATTCAAATTCATGGTCGGTTATATAACCGTCTCTTTTCCTCGCGGTCCGTACTTGCTATGTATTGCTAACAGCGCATTCAGAATTGCGCGAGTCAAAGAAATTAGTTCTATAAACTTCCGCATATAGCAATAAGTCGTAAAATGGACTTTTTGGCGGGATCGGAAAGCGTCACTTTAGCAGTTTTGTTTTTCTTGTTAAAAATTTGTTGTGGCGGATGTTAGTGTCTAATAATTGTGGATTATTAACCACTAAGTGTTCGGGAACATACACAAGTGTTCGCAAGTGAAACAAAATAGCAGAAAGTGTCTTTCGACGTTCCCTCAAGAAGTCCACGGGGAGGTTCCAGTAAATCCCCACACTTTTACTGAAACATGGGGAAAGGGGGATTGACTTGACTGCCACTTACTTTTACTTGACTTATTACTTTGACCACGAGTGCTATAGTATTTGTATACCCACACTTGACATTGGCTAAATGCACAAGGCGTGCGCAGCCTTTTAGGAAAAAAAAAAGTCGTAAAATTTTACGAGTTTGCATTTCGAACTGTCATAAGTCTTTGACGCTTGCGTTTTAATTAAGACCTTATACAGTATGCATTAAAGGTGCCTTTCAATGTTTAAATAAAGCGTTAAATTGTTTTTAACAACGCGATCCATTTTACAAAGCTCTGTGGATATCGTTGCTCACAAAGCGCAAATATCAAACATGAGTGTAGCAATTCAGTGTTCAACTAATAGATTCCGAGAGATTACCGAAGAGATAAGTTTAAAGAATTTGGAATAATCACAATACATATACGAAAATTTATTACTTGTAAGAAAAAATATTAATTTGTTTCTCAAAAACAGTGATGTTCACGCACTTTTTTTTTCTTCTTTCTGTGGCGTTCTTCCTTTTACACAGAAATTTCGCCAATGTCCAGTAGGTGTTCACACACTTAATACAAGAAACAAAAATAAACTTACTTTACCCGCTACTAGGCTTCACAAAATTAATAATTCATTTAAAGGTCTTTGTGTTCGCTTATACAATAAAGTCCCAAGCAATATCCAAGAGTAAACCATAAATAAATTTAAAGATAGTATAAAAAACACTTATTAAAAAAACTTATTACAAAGTGTCTGATTATATTACAGACAAAAATGCTTGGGTTTGAACTGTTCCAATCATTCCAACAGGTTTTCTATATTAAGTAAATCATAATTGTATTGACGTTGTAAAAACATAATGATTTGTAAATGTTGTTACATTATTACACTATTAATGTTGTGGAGTTTTTTTCGGTCGTTTTTCTCCGCAGCTAAAAAATATGTCCATAACGATTGAAAGGAAAAGAAAATTTTTAGACGATTCAAAAGAGTTGTACTATACATCCAATTTGAATAAAGATATATTGATTTCTGATTCCGAGTTAAACTGCGGACGGACGGACATTGTAAAACAGAGTTCCTTGTTGACTCGCCACTCTAAAAACCTCCCGCTGTAATTTTTCGCGTGAGTGCACCGCCATAAACATTAAAAAAGACAAGATAATAATGCTTTTCGATTATTCGGAGTCATAAATAAGAGGGGTATGATAAGATGGTGAAGGTCATCGGAATATTTCCTCGTTCCCGGGCGCAGGTCAAGGCCAGGACGGTTCGGCCTATATCGCAACAAAAATCAAGGGGAACCCAATCATAAACTGTCAATCCTGATAAAAGGGGCGCGCGATACGACCTCCCTCAACCGGAGAGAGGATGACTCGAACATTTAGCTTGCTTTTCAGTAATGTTTTGCTTTATTATGAAAATGACACAGCATTTTTTTGCATGCAATTTACCAAATTACATTTTAATCTCTCACTTTAATACCGAGTAGGAAGTCGAAGTGTAACCGCTAAAGACATTATAAAAACAAACATAATATGCTACTTACGTAGTGAAGTAATACATAGTAAGTATTTTGTGAGACACTGTTGCATGAAAATTTTATTACAGTTTGTTTTAGGGCGCGTTTATGACACAGAATGTCACAGCGTGGCGGCGTAATAATTATTCAGTCATAGCAGATTTATGTTTTATTAACTAGGACTTAACGTTAAAATTCTTTGTGAGTAGAACTAACTTCGCGGCGGCCGATAGAATTTTTTCGCGTCGTCTATAGAGCGTCGAAGCGCAGCGAAGCGGAGCGCAGATTCAGTGTCATATGAATTTTAACTTTATTTTCATTACTATAATACTTATTATCGCATGAGAAACTCGAACGACTCCCGCGGCGCCGCGGGAATTCTGACGAATTCCATAAGCGCGCCTTCACTAACGAGCGGGTCGCTGCGCTTCACTGCCCTTCGCCGCTCTTTCGGTGTGAGTTGACCCTTAGTCTACAGAAAATTTAACTAGAAAAAATTATACACGGTCCAGGCTGCATGTATAGTGCATGCGCCTGGATAGCGTTGGGTGCGGGTTCAAGTCTCGTCTGCTGCTTGGACTGTGTGAATTTTGTTTTAGTAAAATTTTCTTTAATATTAATTTTTGTTACAGTTCAATCCGTCCTTGGTGACACCGATCGTTCTAATTGACATGAGACCTTTATATCTTCAAAGAATTCTTGAATAATGATGATTCGGACTTTTTTTGTAATTATAAAATGGAAAACATAATTTTTTTGACCATTTACGCAGTGGACGCAAAGGAAGCTTTCAAAAGAGATATTTTTTTCCGTTTGTGCTATATTTTGCACTTGCAACATCAAAGCTCCTTCCGCGCCTATTCGCTATAGCATGATGAGCCTTATTTGAAAAATGAAATATCCAATACATACTATTTTTTTCTCAGTTCCTGAAAGCGATGCTACAATATTTGTTACGACATGCTACGGTAGCGACTACGACACTTCTGCAATCCACGGCGACTACGACATTCACACTGGCTACGGGCTACGAGCACTACTACGCTACGACGTAGTTTCGAATTATGATACTGCTGCTGAAAATTTATAAATTTTTCTATGCTTATTTCATTCTAAGTGAAAAAGTATTGTAATCAAAATACTTTTTTTCTATGTTAATGAAACGAAAGATACAACAAAACTTTTTCCTTTTTATTGAGCATTATTATGTATGTATGTATTTCAAAAAATATTAGGTATTGAGAGTTACAGAAGAAAAGGTTGAAATAGGGATTGCCAGCCTATTTGTTCAAGGGTACCGTAACAAATCTTATGGAAAAATGAATCTTTGACATAACATACGTTTACACCAATAGGTATAATGAAAATACACATACCCTTTGCAAAAGCTTCGGTCGATTGTCGAGTTGTTCCGTTTCGTTGTCATCTTTGTGAATAGGCTCGTTGTTATTTTTGGAAGACTTCCTGTAAACAAATAACGCTGATGTTTGAATCAACTTATTCTTAATAATATAAGAATCAGATTCTAGTGTCTAATAAAAAAAGAAAAATTAGTGTGGATGGAACTCTCTCGGTTGGAGATCGAAGTTATAAATAAACATAATACACTAAAAATACTACACACAATATACGCAATGAAACAACTGACGGTTGTTATAGCTATTAACGGGATTGTTACCATGTACCTTGTTTTTTATGAGTCCACAAATTATCTCGACAGAACGCCACTATATACCAAGATTGGTCAGGGAAGCGATTGAAATAACCAAACACAAGAATTTCAATCGTGAGGATGGGTTTAAATTGTCAAATGTCTGGAATCCAGTGGTTCGTATGTGAAAAAACCGCAAAGATCAAAAAAGTGCCGTTCCGCGATCTGATACTGTGAGTATTGTGTGTAGGGAACAAGTGCGAGTGAATAGTGAGAATGTGACCAGTGGTAGGGGTATCGAGCGCAGTAAAAGACGACGTCAGAGGGCAGACCGATATGTCTGCCAATAACATCTACCCGCAATTACTTCAGTTACTCCGTGAGCATGGCCCTTGCAACAGTGCCGAAATATCGGAGACTCATAAAAAACAAGGTACATGGTAACAATCCCGTTAATAGCTATAATGTTAGTGACCATGAAAGTTTAAAACAATATAACTGACGGTTGTGTCGGAAAAATCTTACACTTAAGAAAATTATACTAGAAAAAAATCCACGCAGACCAGGCTGCAGACGGAACTCGAACCCGCACCCTTCGCTATCCGGGCGTATTCTGCTACCGCGGCCCTGATGCAAACATCACCTCGAACCATCCTTTACTGGAACCATTTCGCCGCATTTTCAGGCCCCTATTTGAGAACCTCTGGATAAGACCAGAACGCAGAAATTAACGCAACTTTATCAAGCCTACAATTAACTGGTTATTCAATCAACGTTTTCCAAGTGGCGATTTTCCATCGTCAATGGGTAGCGGTTCTGGCGACAGATTGTTGCAATGGTGTCATGCAGCACCTGGCTTTGTACCATTGTGTACCCTTCAACGGCCAAGTCACACAACATTTACCATAATAATAAAGAAATCGCAGTAAGGAACCTTAGACTTGCCACGACTTTGTCTTTTCATTACTTTTTAGAGATAAACAAGCAGTTCTTCCATCGAGACTTGGCTAGTTGGAGTTTACTCCTTAAGAATCGATTTGCATATATAAGGGGCCCGGTATGAGAAAAATGTGAGGAGTAAAATCTATCGATGAATGACATTAATGACCTCGTTACGTTTTTGTGCGCAACCTCATCTGCGCACCTTTCACTTTTAGCCATGGCAACGGATAAAAAACATTAAGTTGTCACAAATGTCAATAAAATAAATAAACTAAAAATATCTAAAATCGGAGCAAAATTAATGAAAACAAATAAATAATATAGAGAAATGCCGGTAAGTGTCCAGCACTCTGGAATAGTGATTTTCAGTACAGATGGAATTATAATACATATTTACAAAATGATGACTAGTGTGTGATATTTTTGAAATTGTTGTTTCCAGAAATACATAATAAAATATATGATAAATATCGCTGATGTTAAATGATAAAATGTGTGACATGGAACCTATGATAGTCGAAACCATGGGACGATTCCTGAGGTATCTCTACTTGTAACCGACTTCTTCGGACTTGATTTTGTTTTGTGTCTGTTCAAAGACAATCGTTTTTAGAGTGTAAACTCCGGTCGTGCGTCGGAGCTGACACACACAATTATTTTTTACAGAATGTTTTTGGTGGAATAGTATTTTAACTTATCGCGATCCTACTATCAGATCGGAAACTAAAAATGTCTACGTCTACCAAAGTGCAATTACACAATTTTAAATAAGTGGCGACCCGCTCGAGCGAGGATATTGCTAATTTCAGTTGGCGTTCCGCCCTTTGCGTGTTTCGCTTCGATAAGCACCTTGCCTGAGACAGCGGCTCAAGGCTCCGCACCGGGTGCTACGCTTGCACAATACAATAAGCTGATGACGTCCGCGAGCTATTCACGACCTTCTACCCTTGCTTTGCAGAGATAGGCTTGTTGAAAATATATCGATGTATCGATATATCGATATTTTTTGTTCGATATATCGATATTTTTTGCCGATATGTAATATGATTCGATATATCGATACATCGATACAAAATAACCAATATCGAAATTCGTATCAAAAAAATGGTTGCCTGTAAAGTCGGTTTTACGGGCGAAGATTTTACGTGACAACGTCTTTTTCTCGGTAGAATATTTATTGATATGAATATAATTAAATTGCACAATAGGAACAAGGAATTGAATGAAAATAAGAATTGCACAAATTTTAACTATAGAAATATATTTTGTTTACTAAAACATTGTACATGTAAACTTAAACTTAACACGAGAGACTCATCGTAACGTTACCGAGCGTTACACTTTTTCATAAGTGACTCCCAGCCGCAACCTAATTTAAGACGTTGTCACGTCAAAACGATATTTTTTTAATTATTAGCGGCATATCACGATCTAACTAAATTCGTATCTGGAAAAATCGTAACTGGATCTCAGATTAATGATATTCAACATATCTATGATCTGTGCTGTATTTAGTATTGTCTATGTCATCATTCGAAAATAAGGTCTATTTGTAGGGAGATAATTTTCGTTCCATTATTATTCCTCGTGTCATATTTCGTGATCTAAAGTACGATATTTTTGGGAAAATTGGTCCGATATATCGATGTTTTTTTCGCGATATATCGAAGCCGATATTGATATTTTTTTAAATATCGATGTATCGATATATCGATATTTTTTTCAACTTTCGACATCCCTATGCAGAGAATGATGGATGACCTTAAAACACGTAGCAATGAAATATTACTTTTTCTTTCAAGATTTTATTACATACAACCACGGACTTGCATACAACTATGTTTCTTGAGAATTTTTAATTTTTTCAGGTGGACCAAGTTTTATACATGAAATAAATAAGATTTAAATACTACTTCACTTTAGTATTGAAATCTATTTCATTCCATGTATGATACTTACTTACTACTTTCATATATTTTCCAAAATAACTATATGAAAAATCACATAAAAAAAATGCAAATAATAAGTTTTGATTTTACATTTGTTACTCGCCATCTTCTGCAATTGACAGCTCACGTCACGCATGTGTGTTGCCTATTTGTATTGAGAGTCACCGCAAATCAGTACCTTACATCGTTTAATATTATGAAGAGGAAAGATTTGATTGTTAGTTTGTTTGTATTGAATAGACTCCGAAACTACTAGATCGATTCGAAAAATTCTTTCACATTTAGAATCCTTCATCATCCGTGATGAACGTAGGCTATAGTGTATTTTATACCTTTATACCTTATGAGGTAGGTAAATATCAACGTTTTAATTTCTTTTAATTACTTAAATCTTACTCCGATTGGATTTGATTTCAAAAAAATAGAACTACTCTTAATATCCCAGTAAGCCATAAGGGTCGATGAAATGACCAGGGGTTGGCTATGTTTGTAGAATATAGGACAAAGGCCAGGCAACCAATCTCAAATTCTGAACCCATTTGAATATGCTCAAGTAACCTTCGAGGATTTATTCATCACACGGCTCTGTCCACTTCGTCGGGGAACACGGAATGTGAATTATTCTTCTAAACACTAATTTTCACTGCTGTTTGGGACAGTCAGGTCTCCTATCTAATGATGAAATCGAAAAACTTGATAAGACGTTTAATTACGTATAAATTACAATAACTGAATAATAGAAATATTTGTATGCGTATTGTGCGCCGTATAAAATTCGAATGTGCGGGTTTTCTGCGCGGCTTTTTCACCCGTTACGTTTCGTTTGCGTCGTTGTCGTGCGTGCGTACAAGCGTCGACAACTGCCTTTATTTTAGATGAGAAAATTATCAAGAAAAAGGTAAGCTCGATAATATAATCGATATAATCGGTACAATAACTTGATGTCATTCCAAGACGCAATAATTTTTCTGCTGGACATTTTAGCCAAATAGTCAGTAAATCCGAGATCAACTACTGATAATGAAATAAACGCTTGTCTCAAATAATCGAATCTGTGGCGCTATGTGAAGAATTTTCAGCTGACAGCAAAGTTAAATTGCTGTACGATCCATCAGCTAAAGATTTCTCCAAGCAATTGCAGACAATCATTTCCTCCTTTATTGCATTTTAATATAATTTTATAGTAAGCTTTTTAACATTTGTAATAAAAGTATTTTGTAATAAAAATTAAAAAAAAATGGTTGAGAGAGTGAGCAATTTCAGGTAGCTAAGAAAACTGAACTTATTTAACAGGAATACGTTGTTGGTACTCTATATTCATTATGTAACGGACGACGCCATAGCCACCAACTATCAGCTTGTCTTTTCAACTACACCACCTTATTACAAAATGTTGACTAAAGTTACACACGGCCTAAATCTGTTGCTGTCACTATTGTTTCTGACCGTTGGCAGTTCGGTGAAATAGCACCTTCAAGCTGTTGACTCTGACTGCAAGAGCAGCCTACGTATGTTGATCACTGACTAAATCCCGGTATGGCTAGTCTACCACCAACCACCACGTGTAACCAGGACTTTCAACCTATGTCAGAGGCAGTTAGGGGAAAGAATCAGGGACATTTTTGTAAGCCACTTCGATTTTCACCAAGAAAATATAGATCCGTAAAGAATGTGTGGAGTTCGATGGCGCAAGTGGTTAGCGCGTTCGGCTACGACCGTAGAAGTTAAGCAACTTTCGCAGTGGTCGGTCATTGGATGGGTGACCAAAAATTTATTACCTCGAGCTCCTCCGTGCTTCGGAAGGCACGTTATGCCGTTGGTCCCGGCTACATCTCTAGTCGTTAACACCCACTAATCCGCACCGGGCCCGCGTGGTGGGTCAAGGCCCAAAACTCCCTATTCCATCCATAGGGAAGACCTGTGCCCTGTGACCTGTGGGACTTTAATAGGCTGATGATGATGATGAAAGAAGCAGCTGTTGCTGCCGTCCTTCATAGCCTGCCACGCGCGCCGGCCAATGGCCTTTTGGCCGTAGAGTTAATACGCCCCTGAAAAGAATTGTGTTCGGATTAATATCCGGAAATGTAATAAAGCTATCACACTGACTTGTCAGGTAGCAGCGCGGGTGAGACTTTCTTGCGCAGGTTGGCAAGCGCGGCCAGCTCCTCGCGCTTCCTGGACGGCGGCGGAGCACCGCACAATGTCACCAGCGGCGTTGGCGCGGGCTGGCTTTGCTTCGACAGCAACCTATCATGACAAACCAGGGCTTGAAACCGGTTTCAAAAATACCGGTAAATAAAGGTTAATACCGGTTTTTAGTAAAGGTTTCGTTTAGAGCGCGTCCGAAATGAAAGCGGTACCTAAAACCTTATAAACCGGTTTAATCCAGAAAGACACGTGCACGCGTCGGCATCGCTTGAAGTTTGTTTTGTTTAAACTAATCAAGTCACAACTTGTTAATGCTCAGAGATTGATGCATTTATTGACACGTTTGCTAGCGTCTAGTGAGTCAAGTTATTCATTTTGTAGTTGTGTATTTATTACAGCCGTCAGTAACAGCGAAATGAAACCCTTTAAAAACCGGTAAATTGATTCATAACCTATTTGATTTCGCTTTTTAGGAAAACCGGTTTTTTAAGGTTAAGGTAGAGCCAAACCTAAATAAAACGCTCCTAATGTACTTGACACTGATTTAGGTTTGAAAATTAACCGGTAAACAAGCCCTGTGACAAACAGAACCGAATTGTTAATTGTCAAAGAGGCTCACCGAAGTGACTAGTGATCAAAAGGCTGGCAGCTATCTTGGTTAACGGATCAGCCTTGCCATCCAACGCGGCAATGCTGCCAGCCTATTGGGCACCATTCCTGATGGCGGCGCTGGGGGTGATATATTTTTTATTTTGTAAATTATTTATTTATGTAGGTAAAAAGGTTAAGCTATATAGTTTTTAAGTTTTGTGATATTTTAATGTATTCTTATCTTATTTCAACAGTAATCAACAGAACCGGATTACAGTTTTTTTTTGTTAAAAGAGTGGCAAACAAACATATGACCCCGGCCCCGAGGTAAGAAGCCACCACAGCCTATATAGATACATGCTTGCAATACAAACAGTATCACTCGCGCCTTTGACTATACCCTGACCTGGCGAGGATTGGTCCCCGTGGAGCCCTGGGGGCCATTCGCCTACTGGAAATGCTTAGGAAAACGCTAACGCTTACGATTTAATTTTGTTATTTCTAGCCGCCTGAGGTTTTCAAATGCCTCGCGCTTTTGATTTCTTTTGCATTGGTAATAACAATATTAAAAAAAATAAGCGTGAGGTATTTGAAAACCTTCGGCGGTCAGAAATAACAAAATAAAATCGAAAGCGTTAGCGTTTTCCATAGCATTTCCGTTAGGCGAATGGCCCCTTGGAACCTTTCTAATTGACAGAAACACAATACCGCACCAAGCACTAAAAGGTGATGTTATTGTACTTTGGTCTTCTGTTGGATGGAGGTAACTACCCCAGCGGAAATCCGCTATGCTCTACCTCTCTCAAAAACTTGTATATTTTTTTGGTGATTATTTGAGTGGATTTCAACAACTATAAAATTTTGCTAATTTTGTTGATTTTTTTATTTTTAGAAATTATATTAAATTAATTTAGTTGCACCCTAATTTATATTTATAATGGGTGAATCATATCTTGTACCTGTGGTCTTCAGAATGGCGTTCGTACTAACCCGCAGTCTGTGCAGCATTGAAACTGCTCTTTTTCTTAAAATGGCGTAAAAATCATGGGTATGTATGTGCCTGAGCAAACATATTTGACGCACTACAATAACGAGCCAACCCGAACAATACTCTGAACCCATTGTTAAACATAGGTACTGGACCCGTAGATCCCTGTGTATAAGTCGACCCATAAGCTTCTCGTGTAGATTGACAATAAACTTTAAATAATGTTGTGTTTACTTGCTGGCTACAATGAGCAATTAATGCTACGAAAAAAAGTATCCCAGATCATATACTATAATTCTACCAAATTTCATCCAAATCCATTCAACCGCTTTTGCGTGATTGAGTAACAAACATATAACATGTACAAACTATTAATTTATAATTAGTACAAATTTATACAGTTCTTAAATAACCAAATAATGGGATTTACCAAGCTTTCAAATACGAGGTATAACTTAAAGTTAAATATTATCTGAAAAAGCATAGCATTCACGAATAGAAAGACTGGAATTTTACTACGAGTCCAGGCACTGATGTGCAAATCTACAAATCAACAACAAATGAAGCTTAGAATTTTATTATTATTTTAAGAAATAAAGCTAATTACGTACAACAACTAAACCAAGGTTTGACAATGATAAGACGCCGATAGGTTTGATCGATGCAGTTTCACCCACAAGCAGAGAATTGCATGTCACATGAATAGAAATATTATTACGTTACACAATGGTGCACTTGTAATGTTACAGGTAATTTGATAGGTAACATACAAACAGGTGCTTGCAAAAAATAAAAAAAATATTTGAATGGGTGGTAATTGTGAAGCGCGTAACTACATTTGAATTTTATATGTAAAATTCCTGTCATATCGTATCTATTTCCGGTATTTTAGCACGCAATCAATAATGTAATTGAAAGATGATTGGTCCTTTTGGGACCGTTAAACATTAAAGATTTTTTTTTTAAATAAATACCTTTTTGAGGCCGGTGTCCTCTTGGAGAGCAGAGTGTAATCGTACAGGTTGGAGCTGGAGGGATTTTTATTGAGTGCCGGCGGGGGCGGGTAGTACGCGTCCTCATCGCGGTAGTTGTTATTCACCAGGGCCGACTTCAGGGGCAGGAGCTCGACGGTATCGTTGGGGCGGCTGCGTGGTGTACTCATAGCGCGCGTCGCATCGTGTGGACTGTGGCGCCGCGCCGGCTGCCTGCAGCCCACTGAGAGATGTGACCTTGAAAATGCTGCAGCGTAGTGCTGCGACACAGCTCCGCGGTATCGACATAACCAATGAGTTGGATGAGATTTCTTTTTAAATTGAAAAGTTGACACAATCTCTTTAGTGGTCTTCTTGGTTGATAGCGGTTACTATACTATGTATAACGCTTGCAATACCAACCAAAACTTTGTCCGAAGACTTGGCTGCACTTCTGTATGGTAAATAGGGAATACAATTCGAGATGCTACATTTTTGCTGTACACACCTCTTTTAATTTTTTATCTTCCTTGTCAAATCAAGCCAAACAACTTAGCTACCTAAAAAAATACTGTATCAGCTGCCCAAGGATATATATGCACATAATAGAAGACTGCGCTAATAAACACTACCTATTAAGTAGCGTTGTATTCTTGCAGTGGTACGATTACTATGAGAGCTTCATAAGGTAGGGGAATTCGGTACATTCCGGAAGGTGATGAGTGTTTAGAGCTCCATGTTTTTCTTACGATTCTTGTCTCTTTTCTGGCTGCGACTCATAGCATGGCTAAGAGGTATGGAAGCCGGGTGGCCTAGCCTGGCTGGAAACAGGATGAGGCTAGTAAACTGAAATTCCGGAATTGTGTGAAAAGTTCTCTCTCACATGGCAACTTCACAGCAACATATTGTTGTGAAACTGATGGCAGCAAACAGTAAAAGGAGTTAAACTTGCCCTTCAATAACATATTTTGTAATTTATCGATACCGACAGGTATTTTGATAAAGGCTCATCCTTATTGTAATGAGAACAGAATGGTATTCGGAGCCAGCCCGGGCCGCGCATGCGCTAAGATGCGCTGTTTGACAATTTCTATAGGTACCTCATAGGTACCCTTAACAGAGAGCTAGGCTTTATAAACAGACTTACCATTTTAGTATATACATAGTAGATCTAAAATGTTGAGGACTAGCGTAAAACACGACCCGGGCCATTATTGCGTGAGTAAAGTTCAAAGCTCTCCGCGTGTTGAATGGTCGTGAATTCATTCATCGTCAACGAATTACATTATAATCAATTCAAACTTTTCTATTACACTTTCCAGAGCTATGAATTCGTTTTTAAAGCTGGGTGCCACCTTTATAGGTACTGGCACAATACATCGTGACTTTCTCTTCCAATTTTTGGTTCTGGATGTCATCTTAACATTCCCTTATCATTCTTAGGTATCCTATAATTGTAGATCTGTCGACCTTTTAATGCTCATCGCCTACGCATGGTCAGATCTAGAAATTTAGCCGCTCCAAGCAAATGTAAAGGAGAATGGTCATTTTACTTTGGGAGTTGGGCTAAGTTTTTTTCATTGCGTCTTATTGGAATAAGTGTACAACAATAGGGAATCAGGTGCATATTGCGTAGGAAAAATATCATTACAAACTTAAGTTGTGGTTTAAAGAAAATATTAAATTACGTAAGCATTTTAAGGTTATGTCATATTTAGATTCGATTAAATTCGATATTTATACCATACTTAATTATTACTAGGTATACTACTTTAAACTGTATTTAATTAGGTTGTGACCTTTTGTCTTCTATTTTGGACTGGGAGTGAAACAAAAATTGAATGCACTTCGTAAAATCTTATCAACGGGCAGCGTATATTTGTAAACTGTTGCGTTGGTGAGCTGCTATCTATCTCTATTTATTCCAAACATCTCGGATTCAATAAATGTGGCGTTGGGTGCGGTTATATTAGTGCTATTTATACTTATTCTCTTTACGCTCAAGCTGCACCTTTGATGCTCTGTTAACCCAACAATGGATCTAATATTATTTAAGGTTTAGGAATCAAAAATAAATAAGACAAAATATTTTAATAATGATAAACATTTATTGATAACACATTTATCCAAATCGACATTATTAATGTGATATTTTTATTTTATATTTTTGAGGTTATGTTGTATCCAGTGGAACTGTAGTGACTTCGCCTAAAATATCTTTTGTAACTCGCCACCATGTCCTGTTGAGTTTGAAATATCCAGTTAAAGCTCTGCTAAGTTCAATTAACACAGCAGTTTATACATTAAGCGTGCTCTAATCCTGGTTTATATATTGCCTTTTTTTAAAAAAGAATTGACTTATATACACACAGTACACCAGTAAAATCTTGCAGATTTGATGTTAAATCACTCCAACGCCCATTATTCAAGTGATGTTGACATATTCTACAACTTGTGGGAACATAGAATTTATTATGTATTAATAACATTTCTCTTATTACTCTGGGTACTAATAAACATTGTTGTTCCCGGCATCCTGAAAACAGACAAGTCAATGAAGTGGCTACAGCACGCTTATATACTGATGACTGTATCTTAGGTATAACAGGTCTTGAAGGCTGAACAGGTAATAGACCAGCGGGAAATGGTGGTGGTACTGGGATCACTGGTACAGACTCTGTTGGTTCTACATCAATTTGTTCAATTGATGACCGATTCGCATCATGTAACTGTTGCCTTTGCACTTCCCTATTAGCTGCTCGCCAACAGGCAGCACAAACTCTTGAAATTCTTGACACCTATAAAAAAAAGATAAGTGAATTTGAATTTAATGAAAAACCATATACAACTATTTTATGCAATAGAAATATATTTCTTATAATAATAATAATAAATCATTTATCTGACAAGATATGGTAAATTATACAGATCTCAAAAATATAACCAACATGACCTGTCGCTTTTATCGACGTGCAAATATTTATAGGTAGTTGCAGTATTATCCAGAACTCAATCTTTAAAAACTATATATATTATTTATATACCATAGTCATGATTGAGTTAGTTATTATATAATCAATTTCATTAATATACTACATGACAATTGTGCAATGTAAAAAAAAAATGTCACAGTCATGTTTCAGTTAGTATTGAAATCAATTTAAATAAATTATTATTAATATAACATTTCAATCATGCAATGCAAAAATAATAATAATGTCACAGTCATGTTTTAATTAGCATTGAAATCAATTTTAATAATTTATTATTGATATTAATATCTTATACCATACCTCATGTGCTGGAGTCCATCTAAGAATAATATTTCTTTCTGGGCAGTGTAGTGAAACCCTGTACGATCGACTTCTTAATATGGATTTTCCACAACCAAAACAGACTTGTTGATGGCCATATTGTGGTGCAGGTACTTCTTCGGTGGTGTCACTAGCTTGTAGTAGCATAAAGCATTCGTTGCACACTATGCCCCCATTCAATATCTATAACAAGTCAAAAATATTTATATTTATTTGAACATGTGAATGAAATTAAAACATTATATCACGGTTGCGATTGTATAACGATATATTTTTAGTATTATAAGTAAATAATTACTTACAGAATCAGGTGCGATCCATGAGCTTAAAACATTAAGCATTGAATTGGATAGCATGTCCAAAGAATGTACTGGCTGTCGTCGTGGCACTGATATACAACAGTTAATACAACGTCGTTGCATACTGCCTGCGTTTTCTTGTGTAACACCAGATGCCATTGTAAACAAAAATAATTACAATAAACTAAGAGTCCAAATATCTCTGTCAGAATCACTAAAGGTAACTTAACACTAAATCAACGAGTCCAATGCTCTCTTTCCCAAAAAAAAGTTATTAACGGAGGATTACTCAACTCAACATTAAAACTATTCTGCCACAATAGACCACTGAAAACACAAATTCAATTCAAAATTGAAAACTGTACTTAAGTAGTTAGTCACTCGGAACAATTTTTTTTTTTTTTAGTTCAATTCTTCTCTATTGAGAAAGGCAAAGGCATAGCCATGGAGCCATCGTCTTATTTTTGTATTAATCTTACTTTTTTTATTTTTTTAACTTAAGAATGTGGGTGTGTCGCATTCTAATGCTTCTCAGAGTGTTTGGCACGAAATATATCGAGTTGGCTTTTTCGATAAGCTTCTGTGAGGTAGTCAATACTACAATAAAATTCTCACGTCCACTTGACCGGAATAGCGTATATTTTAAAGATTCCAATAATTCTTCAGTTGCGCAGACGGTTGTAACACAAAATCACACCAATTTTATTGCACAATATCCACTATGAACAAATTTAAGAATAATTAAAATATGACGCCAACCGCACTCGATGAAATCCCGCCAAAAACTCCTCACTCGGAACAAACAACAAACACGTTGACAACAAGTTGACAGCTACCTACTTCACTTGCCTATGGTATATATTTCGATTTGATTCTATAGGAATCGATTCCTACACAATCGATTAATAAATGTTTTATTTTTCAATGCAAATGCTTAAAATGTTCAAACCATGCGTTAATTTATATATGATTAAGTAATTATATATAACATAACTGATAATTTAAACAAAAATATATTCCCTTTTTTAATCTAAGATGTGAATATGTAGTACACATATAAAAGTTTTTGTATGCGATCTACTGTTTGATGAACAAAATAGTCCGCAGACAAAAAATCCTCTTTTGCGCAGCCCATTAAGTTCCTTTTAGTTTTTAGATGCAATGAAAGAGAGCAATCCCTGGTAGGTACAGTGAGATAGTCACAACACAGGTCTTACAAATGATAACTTTATGAATTTAATGTTATTTATCATGATATAATATTGGTAAAAATGCTCGTATCCATCATACAAACATTTGCCTCTCCGGAATTCGAAACCAGGCCCTCTGAATAGGCGATTTGGGGAAAATAATCTATCCATCGATCCATACAAAAATCAAACAACTCGCATCGAAGACCTCAAAATAAAAAATGACTACGAATTAACGAATGATCATTATTTCGTAGTCATTTACGGTGTTTGGTAAAAATGTTTCAGGCTATTTACAATTGTTCTATGCTTTCAATTATAATAAACGTTTTTTTTTTCTTTTTGAAGTGAAACTTCTTTACGCACTCTTGAATTGGGGAGTAAGCTAGCGAACGTAAGCGTTAAGAAAAGTGTGATCGGGCGAGGCGAACGGGAGTTGAGTGGGGGATGTAAGCATGAGAAAGCAGTGCGCGTGCACATTTTCTTTCTCTCTTCCTCTCATAGCCAAATACGTTCCGTATATCTAAGCACAGTGCAAACCTATTGTCTGTATCACAGTGTAGGAGCAAGAGCGCGCGCACGCATTTTCTTTCTCTTTTTCTCTTACAGCTAGTAAATGAAAGAAGTTTCACTCCAGTTGTGTAGTCATAAGCACACTCGTTTTTTTATGTTAAGAATATTTAAATAAAGAAATATAATCGATTTTTTTTTCCTACGATAGTATCGACCAGGTGATACAACTTTTATCTATGGTTATTGGTTATTTACTCAGTTTAATAGCCATTTATTTATTATTTTAAATATCCGCATAATATTTACATAATAAACACACATATGAAATGATAATTCAGAAGAAGATTTTTGATACATAAATGCGTCAAGCGCAATCTAGGCGGATTTGCCCATTCTCCTTTCGCCGCCCTTTACATACAATAACACAATTTATATCATTAGCTCATGATCTTGGGGGAATTACCTTTATTTTGGAGTCCAGTTTATTGGGCATTCTGAAAAAGTACCTATCCCCAAAAAATTTGATGAGTGCTTTTATGGTAGTAAGTATATAACGTATTGTCTTTTAAAGAATTTCACAGAAAGCATTAAATGCATTGGTTTGCTTTTTTAACTTCATTACATTATCGTCGTCATCATCACCAACCTATTTCGACTAACTGCTGCTTATAGGCCCCTTTACCCTTGCGCTATTTTTAATATAAAATGTTACGGGTTGTATGAAATGAATGAAGGCGAGTATAAAACTAATGAAACTATAAAATATAGCAGACCGAAAGGGTTACCAATAAAAAAAAACGTATCACTTTATTTGTAAGTATTCTAATTTCAGTTCTAAATTTCTAATTCTAAATAATTAGGTACGTACCGAAAGAGTTCGTACCTCATATTCTATTTAGGTACTTCGCCTTCTTTAAATTTGATTCAGATCATCACCGGTACTGCTGGTCATCGGCATTCTCTAGGTATTTCCAGTTTCCACACACAACAGTCCTGCGCTTTCTGCATCCAGTGAGTCACATCTTGACAACAGGATGTTTATGACCTCGGCGTGATCTTTGACCAGGGCCGGATTTAGAGGTCCAGAGGCCTCGGGGCAAGAGAGCAGCGGAGGCCCCCTCACCCCAAATTATTTTCCAAATAAAGTAAACAATTTTTTTTCAGTCGAGTTTTTCAATAAATAATTTATTGTGAACCAAGTACCCTTAGTATTGAACAAACACATATAAATATAAACGGAAACAAGAATTATCTGAAATCCGGCAGTGTCTTTGACGAAAAATTATACTACCGATACACACTATTATGAAACGCGACGCCACGCCAGCGTATTTTCTATGATTAGTGATGTGCATCGCGTCGCGTCGAATGTTCCTAATGTTATTCTGATCATAGAAAATTACACCATATATCCCCACTGATATGTGTATCCACTTGTAGGTATACTTGGAGTTTTTTTTTTTCAATTATCGCTACAAGTTGGGATATAAGGAACTCTCTATTCCATATATCCCTAGTAAGGATTCCCTACTGATCCAGACTGGTAGGGATATTTTTTTTCCATTTATCGCTACCAGTGAAGGAGGATTTTATTATTTAGGTATATTAAAGCACCATTTCAAATGATTACATGTTTATTCGAGTAATAAGCACCACATGGATCAATATATACTTTTTCTCCTATTGCTTTGCTCTCTCACTCTTGAATTAAAATTCATACTTATTTATAATTTCAAGATAAGAATAAACTATTTTAAAAGTTACACTTTTGGTTTATAACAAAATAAAACTTGTTTTAAACTTTCATGGTCACTAACATTATAGTAATATAAGTTATTTACGGGATTGTTACCATGTACCTTGTTTTTAGCGAGTTTCCGATATTTCGGCACTGTTGCAAGCGCCATGATCACGGAGTAATCATGTCAATCATGTCAATCATGATCACGGAGTAATCATGGCGCTTGCAACAGTGCCGAAATATCGGAAACTCGCTAAAAACAAGGTACATGGTAACAATCCCGTAAATAACTTATATTACTAAAATAAAACTTCTTTAATAATAAATTTATAATAAATAAAAATTTATGTTCTTACATCAAGTTATGTACAATTTGAAAAAGTTACCCCTATTAAGACACATACGGTTCCCTGATCCGGAATTCCGTGAGCCTAGCGCAGACGTTTAGTTAGGAGTCCGAAACGAACTTTAGATATTTTCTGTCCTGAAAAAAAAAACGAGAATAGTGTTCGCCTCGTTGAACATTTTGTATGTAAGCACGTGCATTTAGGTTTCCGGGTGGGGATTTCGGATCAGGAGGCCTACTCTAATTCAACGAAAAACGAAATTTCGATCGAAACTTCGCACTTTTCTTACTATGTTTCGTGTTCGTTTTTAATTGTAATAATATTCGTCGTCGGAATATAGATAGGAGGTGTAGATTATCTAAGCCTACTCAAAGAAAGCATCAATTTGATAGTTTATCGTTCAAATTAAGTATAACCTTAAATTGAGGAAATTAAATTTCGTTTGAACTTCGTTATCGAAAGTTCGTTTCGGAGAAAAAGAGTAGATCTCCAGGAAACCGCACATGTGCGACCAGGCTAAAATAAAGCTAGATAAATTACAATAAGCTGACATTATAATTTTCTTGTTGATTTTTTTTTTATTTATAACAAAACCAGATATTATAATTTTATGATTTTCTTGTAGAAAATTACATTTTTTTTTATTTACAACAAAACCAAACTTTTAATAAAACCATAATGAAAATTTTAGGTACGTACTTATAACTAGGTATGTCCAATTCACAAAGTTACTCTTATTAAAATAAAGCTAGATAAATTATACAATATGTGAGATTAAATTATTTTCTTTTTTTAAATGGCATGCGATCCAACTTGTTGACAGTCGATTGTGGTCTTTGTCCTTTGTGGGACAGCTTGGGACACTTATGAAATTATTATATTGCCGTACTTGAATAAAATTTACTATTTTCTTATAAATTACTCAAAAAAAGGATCTTATCAAATATTCGTATCTTATCGGACTGGCATAATATTTCTATAGGTACATAGATATAGTGCGATTCAAATAAGAATAGGAAAGCCAATGACCTCCATCTGTCAAATGTCGCTTGAAAAGTATGGTTTGCAAAAAATCTTGGAAATACTTTTTTAGCACTCAGGTAATTCTAGAATAAAAATCAAACATTTGTACACAAATAATAATAAATATTGATAGTGAATATTGTTTGATATTTTTTGTCGGTTGTTTTTTTTCTCAATCAATCAATCTTAGTAAATAAATTTTATTTGAAAAATCTGATGTTTTTCTCAATCTTTGTAAAAGTTTTGCTCACTCTACCTATTTGGTTTGAATTGACAACTATGACGTCCCAAAATGGCTGCCAGTTGGTCCTCTCTAGTTGAATCGCATTATATGTGAGCCTTTTAACACATGTGCCCAATTTCGTATATATTCAATAAAATTGTTCTCGTAAGTGATAACTCATTATGTGATCCTGCAGTTAGTGAACCGGGGAGGTCATTCGACGGATCCGCTGTATATGTGCTCGACCAGCTGTTTAATCAGATTCACGTCCTTTAGTTTCGCCCAACCATCAGTTTGCATTACCTTAGGGTTGTTTTTAATAAAACTTAGTACTTTGTGACGCAGATTCTGCAGTTTATATCTTTGTGCCAAAAGAGCAATATCCACGGCATTCTCTACATTGATATGTTCTGCGGTCACGAGCTCCGCAATCAAAAACAAATTACTCAGTTGAAATTTATCGGCGAGTTTAAGTAAAGTGTCACAATCTTGGTTTAATATATCATTTATAGTGCCAGAGTACAAGAATTCCAAAAGAATAGTCATGTCGCTGTCGCTAATATCCAACGACATGGAGGTAACTTTCGAATCTTTAATCAGACTCCTCAAAACCGGACTGTGAGCGGCTAGAATTATTCTATGCGTGGGAAATTTATTTGTAGTAGCCGATTCCAAAACAAAATCAGTATGCTCCTGTTTATTTAACACACTACTGTGGTCGTGTTTTAGTTTGATAGATTTTATTATATCACTATTGAGCGAATGACTAGCATTGAGAACGATCGATATAGGAATAAACACTATGTTATTGTGAAAGTATGTCACATCTTTCTCTGCGAAGCAAAATGTTTTGATATGATAGTTTTCATTGGGCGCCGCACTTTTGAATGTGTACCACGTGAGAGTTCTAGGTAGTATAGTCCAGCCCGATATATCTGCAGGTCGGTCTCTGACTTTGTACTCGTTCGAATTGCTGACGCCGATTGAGAAGTTGCCAATTTTTCTATGGCACACAAACAAATTTAACAGATAATTGTTTCCCGGACACACAGAAGTCGTAAAGTAAAACCACAAATCTGGCTCTTCCCCAGTATATGTTCCCCCAATATCATATTCATTGGTTATTTTGATTTTACAGTCTAAATCGTAAATGCACAGCTTTTTAGCATCGATTGTCTCACACCTGTGAAGGGTAGATACAGAACCATTCTGAAACAAATAATTTACTGAGTAGTAGTGTAGATATATTGCTTTAAACATTTTATATTGATTGGGTTTATCATTACGTTTTACATCTTACATGTACGTATTGGGCGTCCTGACTCCTCTGAAGTGCTATTTGTTGTTCGGCGCGGACATCGCCAGCGTTGTCCACGTTCAGCAGCTCACCATCATCGTCCACGAGCATCATTCTGGTACCGCGCCTGTGAATAAAACACAAATTAATTACAGTGTAAACTAGATGAAACAATTATAATAGAGCGAATTAAGATCTAGACTAGACTAGCGGACTAGATAATGGCAACAAGTTAGAACTCGTTGTGTGTGTTCCTTTAAAGATACATTATTAACTCCAGTGCCGGTAGAAGCGCTCTCTTCCGTCCTCCGAGTCGGTATATCTCTTCTTCAGAGTTATTACTCAATGTCGATTTCCTCACCCCTGGGTAGTTGACGCGCCCTAGTGGTACTCGTCGATTGTGGCGATTGGGTCAGTCAGATTGGGATCTGATGCATTCGTTTCTTGCATCATATCCTGAGCAGTTTTATATACTTTTCTACGAGCGACAGTCAGCGCCATTCTATTACAAAGGTTCTGCGTACATGTAGGAAAATCTTCATACCGTATTGAGATTACATATGCCAAACGGAGGTTCGCTAGACGCTACGCTATGTGGCTATTTTGAGGTGATCAAACTAGTGTACCAGATCATATTTCAGCAATAAATTTGAGGATCTGAGGGCCTGGATGCAAGACTCTTTTGTCTGAAATTACTTATGCAAAGCGATGGTTCGCAAGATGCTACTTACGCCATCTTGACGTGATCAAAGCTAGTGTACCCGAACATATTCATATCCCAGCAATTATTGTAAAGACCTGTGAGCCGGGTTAGCCCAAGCGCGCACCGGCGACCAGCAAATTCAGCTAAATCTATGCCTTGCATCAACAGCGCCCGCACATGGCAGCGAGCAGCCAAGCTGAAGGTATTAAATGTCTCATAGACAGCCGCGGCCGGGGTGGCAGCCAGTTATATTCGCTTGCAATGCAAGCAAGTGTTCAAACACAAGTGACCAATAAGGGCTGACCGCAGCCGCAAGCCGCCTCTGTCTGTACGACCCTTTAACAATATTTTTTAGACAGTCTATAAACCCCCTGACAACAAAAGACCAATCTCTGTCACGTCCATACTTTTTATGTCACGTTAAGTATGAAACGTGCATTGAACAACAAGCTCATCCTAGCGACCGTTAATACGGATTCCGCCGATATTGGTCCAATGGGAAGCTTCTGTCGTCTGGTTGATGTTGCGGAAGATGACGGGGTCGTGTGGGGATTTCCCGCGTGAGCCAAGTAGTATTGGACCTGACCCGGTCAACGATCGTGATCATCCTTGTTAGCATTGATTGACGGTGTAGGTTTCTTATTGAGTATCATCACATCGTTGTCGCGTCATCGCACTGGTGGATTCTGAACCTTGTTGGCCAAAAATATTTTTTTTTGTAATCAGATGGTTTCTGTTGTTTGATTTAATAAATGAAATGCATATTTATTTTTTTAAGGTGAACACAGTAGTATTCATTGTCTAGTCAAGTATTAATAATAATTATTTATATGATACCTTACACATTACCTATTTTGCTATTTTCCAGTAGTTTATTGCGAAAATCCAAGTTTTGTTTCGAAGTTTAGACTGGACAAATAACGCCTAGAAAACTATTACGTACAAGAGAAAGGCGCAACTCAAAGTGAACCACATATGGCTCAGTTTGATACACAAGCTGTCAGTGCTCAACAGCTCGCAGTGTTGAACAATGCTCGCGTTTTTTTAAGGGATAGTTATTACTGTTTTAGAAATTTTCTTACCTACCTGAAGAACAAAATATTGTGATCAAGTTTATATTTAAAGTGTAATTTATAGTTTTCCTGAACCTATATTGACAAAAAAACATTATTTATACACAAATCTTTGTTCAATATAATGTTGTTAATGGGGAAATAAATATCATACAATATTTTCATTGAATCATAGATAAATATTGAACAGACAAATATATTACTAATTAATAAAATTGTTAACTTTTTCAAGTATCTCTGTATAAGTATTCATGTATAATGGTGTTACAGGTACATAAAATGATTATTAATTGATGGTCCGAAAGCATATTTTTTATTATTAGAATTTGACTTCTTTTGTGACTTATACTAATGTACATGAACGTAATCATATTCATCCTGCCAAATACTTTGGCATGACATAACAAAGCAGCACATTTCTTCATTTTGTGGTAATGGGAGATGGTCACACTAAAATCATGCATGTGTGCGTAGATACAGTCAACTCACCCACACACAAGAAATGAATTTGGCATACATTACCACTCTTGTTTTGGTTAAGACTTCTAGGTATTATTATTCTAAGCTCACAAACTTTGGAGCAGCAAGGATAAGTTCTGCCATTGCACAACCTAGTTTAATAATAAATTTATTTCAAATAAAAGGTATTTTGCAATTTAACTTATAAGGCTAAACAGTGCTAACCAATTTGACATAGTTTCAAATTTTGTAGCAATTAAATTTAATAACGTTAAAAACTTAGCAATATAATTCTTAAATATTAAGTCGTAGAAATATTATTATTTATTCAGCGCCATCTATCATCATGCATATAAATTATTCAATATCGAAATCCACTTTGAAAAGCAATGGACAAGTACAATATATGTGTGAACCTAGTAGTTGCATTTGGAATGTAAGTTAGAGGGAGCTAGTGTGCAATTTCTTTTGAATGAGATGCGGAAATGGATGTGACGTCACATTAATGTTCTGGAAACATTGAAAGGCGGAGTCAGCAAAACCGGTCCGTGTGCTTCCTCATACCAAATATGGTGATATGAGAGAAATTTGCAATGACGCTGTCACGTGTTGTAGTAGCCTATAAATAGCAGTGCACAAACAGATTCGCTCTCTTTTGGCTGATAGAACCTTGAAGACCATACTTAGAAAATAGCAGTAAGACTAGCAGTGGTAGTCAGTGCATTATATACTTAATATTTCTCCCCGGATTAACGGGTAAGTTTAATACATTTGATTCGTTAGGCTGTAGGTCCAGTTAGTTTTTTTATTGAATTATAGAAAAATATGTAATTGGTTCTAGGTCCATTAATTTGGCTAATTAATAACAGTAATAATCACAATTACTTGATCCTGATTGGAATCTCCTTGGAAAAATATATATATGAGCCTGTGAAGCTTCCTTGAGCAAAAAAGTGACGTGTTCACGTGATGACAGCAAGTCCTGCTTCATCCCTGAGGACATTTGAGTGATCCTGATGCTCCCATGATCTTGCCAAGCTAAGTAAAACTTATAACTTCTTGATATTTAACCAGTGCATACTCCGGATAACAATTTCTGTTTAACGTGATAAAGGATTTCTATTAGTAAACTATAAAGCCATTATAAGTACATAACAAATTTTTATTGTTAGATTTTCAAAATTTAATATTTTATAACTTGTTTAGTAATTTGTTTATATAAGAAACTTAAATTGAGTATTACTGTATTAGCACATGATCTTGAATGTTTGAATAGCTTTAAATCAAAAGAAAAATCTTTGAAGAAATATAACTATGTATTTTTAACTTGAATGTGACTAGTATTAAGTTTTAACCATGATGAAATAAGATCTGAATCTTTTTAACAATATAATATCTTGTTCACTGCTGTTTTAGACATTTTCATTTATCTCCCTCAAATCACAGTATCACGGCGCCCTGATTTTAAATTAAATAAGTTTCGAGTCTCATGTACGCCCTGAAATAGTCGGTGGTAACTAAAATTGTTACAAAATGGCGACCAACTTTAGGGCCGAGCAATAAAATACTGTATTTGAGGGAAATACTGGTGTGCTGATATGATGATAAAAAGGTTGGCGGAAAAATAAATGCTTAAATCCCCAATCAGTCTGAACGGCACACTAGAATTTAACATCTAATCAAAAAAAAAAAAAATTTTAACTTAAAAATCATTAATATTCAGAATTTGTACTAATGTGTTAATATGATGATAAAAAGATTGGTGGAAAAATTTAATGCTTAAAATCCCCAATCAGTCTGAATAGCACATTAGAAGTAAATTACTTAATAACTTAAAAAACTTTAATAAACAATACTTTTGGAATACTAGTGTGTCTAAATGATGATAAAAAAAGGTAGGTGGAAACATAGATGCTTAAATCCCCAACCAGTCTGAAAAACACACTAGCATTAATTAACTTAGCACATTAGAATTAATCAACTTATACTACAATAACACTTTCGTATTGATTGGATGCGTAAAAAATTGACCTTGAACAGTGAACAAGATAGTCTTTAAGAATTGAAACTTGTAATAATAAAAGTACCCTCCTTCAAAAAAAAAAAAATTTTTATAAATTCCTTTGTATTTAACTTTCTTAGATTAAATAACTTGAATAAGTAGCTTGATTTAAAAACTTGATTAAACGTAATTTAATAATTAACTTAATAATTAACTTAGTAACAGAAATAACTGACTTTAACTTGAAAAAATCTGAGAAAATGCTCTCTATACAAAAATATGTAAACTACTTAAGAAAGGATGAAATCATATATGAATTGGATATTCTTGGCATTTCCACAGCTCCTGACACATCGGTGGATGCACTGAGAAAGCAGCTTCGCCAAATTTTCAAGCTGAAGAGACGTGGCAGCATCAAGTGTGCTCCAGTGATCACACCACTCCCGGCAAGCGAGCTCAAGGCATGTACGCCGAAAATTGCTGAGCTAGAGGATCTGCTGTCATCAGGTGACCTCGGAAAGGACAGTAATCTTCACTCACGTGTGTCAGTTAGGGCTAATTATCTCATCGATAGACTAGCTCGATTAAAAGTTGAGAAATCTTCTCTAGTGGATTTGCGCCACAGGCTCATTAGAATATTAGCTCAGGTAGACAAAGAGGATGAGAGTAGTTCAGACGAATTAAGTAGTAAAGAGGCAACTTCCGAGTGTGAGAGAACGAGCGAGATGAACGAAAGGAGGAAAGTGTACTTAATTAAAGATAGACGCATTAATTTAAACTCATTTAACTTAAAATATGATGGTTCTACTTGCGTTAGAAATTTTATAGAAAGATTGGAAGAAATTAGACACGCCCGCGAGATTCCGCAATCTCGTATGCTAACGGCATTTTCCGATCTGTTAGAGGACTCTGCTTTAATTTGGTACAGAAGTAATAAAGATAATTTTAATACATATTCTGACCTATTAATTAACTTGAGAGAAGATTTTGATATTCCTGATTTTGAAATAGATTTAAAAAACAAATTATGAAAATTAGTTCTCTATTAAAGTAAAATTTTTTAATAAATCTTAAATATTTAATATATATGCAATTCATAAATTAATTACGATTGATTATTTAATTATCTCTGTTTAGATTAGTGTTCACCAAGTACCTTGACTTTTATTTAAAAATATATATATTGAGACACTATTAAGAATGTCGTTAATTAATAATTATTTTGATAAATACTTAAAAATAATCTTAATTCATAACGTTAATTTCCAATGGAACTTTTTAATATTGAACCTAACCTTAACATTTTTGATACCTCCAATTACTTTCCCTAATTACGATATATTTATCTACCTGCATTCTGGATATTGGTAAGGTACTTGTAACTTTTTTACTTGCAAAAAGTTACAGGAGCTTATTAGTATTTTCCACCAGGTGAGGAAATATTTAATTGTTTCTCACCAAAGGAATGAAGGATGGTTGGTATATAAATATGTGTAATT